TACATATTTTATTTGAAAATCACGTAATAGTACTATAAGGTATAATAATTAACAACTTAACATATTTTAAAATTTTAGTTGACTCTCCGAATTCCATATGTCTCATGTAATTGAGACAGAGAAAACATATATTGGTTTAAAATTAATAAAAATATTATAAATTATAATAATTAACAACTTAAAATTTATAAAAAAAAACCTTTAAAATTTTTTAGTTGGCTCTCCAGATTCAATCGGTATTACAATAATTAAAACATAGAAATTAACATAGATTGGACTCCTGCTGACATTTATGTTTCCTTTTTCTAAATTTTCTCTTTTATACTTTATATAAATAATTTTTTTATGTAAAAAGTATTATAAATCATAATAATTAATAGCTTAAAATATTTCAAAACATATAAACAGTTTTTGTTAACTTTCAAAATTTCATCTATGCCGCATAAATTGGGAGAAATATAGATATATAGATATTTTAAGTTGCTAATTATTGTGAGTTATAGTACGTTTTATGTAATTTTCATATATATTACTCGGTCCTGATTTATGTGATACAAATGAAATTTCAAAAGTCAATGAATTTTTTATAAATTTTTTTTATATTAACTTGTTAATTATTGTGATTTCTAATATATTTACGTAAAACATACTCTAAATACAAATAATTAGTAACTTAAAATATATAAAAACATACTAAAAAATTGATCAACTTCAAATTTCATATGTACCACATAAATTAAAACAGAAACAGTAACATATATTGGGGCCCGTGCTGGCACGGGGTCCCATATCTAGTATATATATATATATAGCAGTTTTCATTTCCATCTTCTCTATAACAAACTTGTACTACACAGTTATGGCGAAAGAGTAAAGAAAAGTGAAATTCCATTGTTGAAACGCCATTAACACAATCTCAAAGCTTTTTTTTTCTTCTGATTCATACATAGGTTTTCAAAAATGGAAGCAGCAGCTGTTTCAGTTGTAGACAAGTTAAAATCCTTTGCAAAATCTACGCAGGATTTCGCTTCCGTCGTGTTCCGCAACCGCGAAGTTTCCAATCCGGTAAATTAACTGTGTATTTTCTTTTTCCGGTCATTCCATTTGCGGATAGATTGTTAGAAGTAAAATTTTGGCCTACAATGTGGCCTAATTGTCAATGAAGACTAGGTGATTTCTTGCTATTTGTCTTAGTCTTTAACTGGTGCTTGTTGCTTGTGTGAGTTGTTAGACAAGAACACTAGTGATTTCTTGCTATTTCTTTTAGCCTTGGTGGATAGAGTTACATGGTGTGTGTTGCTTGTGTGAGTTGTTAGACAAAGACACTAGTGATTTCTTGTTATCTGTTCTAGCTTTGATGGATAGAGTTAGCTGATGCTTGTTGCTTGTGTGAGTTGTTACAAAAACATTACTGATTTCTTGTTATCTGTTCTATCTTTGATGGACTAATTTACTTGATGCTTGTTGTTTGTGTGCGTTGTTAGACAAAAACACTAGTGATTTGTTGTTGTTGTTTTCAAGTATTAGTTCGGATACATTTCATTTTTTCCCTATGCAAGCTGATTGCCAGTCATGATATAAAAACCTATTTGCTCTAGTATGCGTTGTTAAGTAGTAACATTGTGGTGTCTCATTAAGGTTATTTAAGTTTCATTGCGTTTGTTTTCAAGTAGTAGTTTAATAATTTTGAATTTTTTTTCACCTGTTGAAGCCGATTGACCTATAGAATATGAGTAAAGAAAGTAGAAAGAGACTTATGCTATGCTGGTTTTGTTCAGCGGAATGGATTACTTCTATGGGCTTTATCGGTTTTTTGGTATTTTGGATATTATGAGGTTACATCTCTGTTGTGATGGACACTAGATGTTCTTTTTTTTTTTCTTTTAACAATGGTATTTAGAGGTTCCTCGACTAGCAATGGTATTGATAAGCTTTGTCCCCAAACATTTAGGTTGATGGAAAGAATTTACTTAGTTTTGCATATGTTATAATTAGGATTGGAACCTTCATTCCCTAGATTGTTAAAAAGAGGAAGGTTGAGGGACTTGTTCTTAGGTCACAGATTCGATCCCTGTGCCATGTGAACTAACTACTAAGTCCTGTAATTAAGTTGAGAAGGATTGAGACTAGAGGGGAAAATCCGTCATCCCCGAGTTTTGAAGGCTATGGTGTTGGCCCAAAGGGCTGGCTCCTTCTGAAGTTCACAGTCATAAAAGAAAATTGTTGCTCTTTGACTTCAAGGCCACCCTATTGGGACAGGTTTGATAGATGTTTTGGGAAAAAAGAGAACACCATTGGATCACATATATATTATATTCAAATTCCCAATTTAGGATCCTAAAAGAATGTGCAGTAAAAGTTATACAGAGTGAGGGATCCAAGCAAGTATGAAATTGAACATTTCTTCAAGATAACAGCTACTCCTTCATGTGAATCTTATTTGAAGTAAATGAATATCTAAAGGGAGAACAGTAAAAGTTATGAAAATGTTATTTCTTATGTGAGAATGGTAGTTTTGGCTCTTTTTAGAAGGTCAGGGGAAGGTGAGACTGTTCGCATCCCTACTTTTGTACTATTGATCTAAAGTGGGTATATCTGTTACCTGTCATGCAATGTTCAACTGCGGAACAGTGTCATTAGGAAGTACTCAGAGCTTGAGCAGTCAAATTCTTACTTTGCCAGTTACCACAAGCTTTGTTAGTGGGCTCTGCTTTACTCTGATGGGTCTCTTAAGTATGAGAAGGCTCTGGCGGTGTACCCTAACCTCATCTAGTTTCTTCCAGTTCGTCTATTTTTTCCCATCTTTTCCTATCTTTTCCATTGTCACTAGATCAAAGTCTTTTATGTTTACTATCTGCTGTATGACGATGCCTGTATGATGTGGCTTCCCAGGAAATAATATTGACTAAAGAGTTATCCATATGTAAGAGAAAAATCTCTTTTAACGATCCTTTTACTTATCGACAGAAAAAAAAGATACTTATCCAGATTTATTTTGACATAGTTCGGTTGGGATTTGTTACTCTCATTAGCTGTAGGATATCACTGTTTCCCAACTGCACTCCCCTCGGCAAGCTTTAATTTGACATATTTGCTAATTCTTATGTAGCAACAGCCTGTATGATGGTGCTTTACAACTTTTCCAATAATATCATTTACAGAATGAGAACTTGAAGAGATTGCAGCGAGAATCTTTTTCAGATATTATGAAGCTAAGAGACGGACAAGAGAAGTTGGAGCGAGTGCTTGCATTCTTTAAATCTTCTAAAGGAAGTCCAGTCCAAGAAACTAGCACTCACGTAAGAGGAGAATTTGATGCTGTGGGTGCACTGTTGATGATCGGTACCATTGATGAATCCAAGTGCAATGCAATTGAAAGAGCAATTAGGACTGGTATTGATTCTAGGCTGACTTTTGAAACAACTATCCGTGAAAAGGATACACTTGTAGCAGAGTTTGTTGGCAGCGAAAGAGGCCAAATGAATATCCTGGGTAGTCCACTTTCCTTAGCAAAAGTTCTTTATGCAGCAAATATCAGTGATTGGTGTTCTGCAGTTGCCATTCCAGTCGGTGGTCGATGCAGAGATGTTGCAGTACCTACAAGTTCACGTGAGGTAAATGCTTCTGAATACTGAATGTGCTTTCTTATTTGTGATCATAGTTATCAATTCCATGTTCGATTCTTTTTGGTATTGTCAGTATCAGCAAGAAGTAGCAAAAGTAATAAGGTCAAAAGTTTTGTTACCAGCCTCCCAAAAAAAGGTTAGGTCAAAATTCCTGTAAAATGAAGTTGCAGATGTACTCACCAAAACCAAAAGAAAATATCGAGTTGCTGATCTGTGGTGCAAAAGTTCTCGCACTTATTAGGAATGAGGAATGACAAGAAATCAACAGGTTGACAAGGAAGATTCTGTGGGGGGAGGGAGGTCATTACATGGTTGTTGGCTTGTTGCATAGTGTATTTACTTGTTATATTACATCTTTCAGTTGTCTTTCTATGTAGCTTCTGTAAAAGCAAGGTAAGTAATCTGACAAGGAAGATTTCATGGGAGTCATTAGTTTGTTGTTGCAGATGTTGCATATTGTATCTACTTGTTATATTACATCATTTTTAGTTGCCTTAATGTGTAGCCTAGAATAACAATTTTTTTGGGGAATTTTTGCAGGAAAGGGGGATGACTGACTATTCATCTTTTGGGCCGCCCCTGCTGAATCAACTAAATGGTAGTGGAATCTCTGTGATGGTTAAAAAATCAAATATTGTTGCCTGCTTGGCTCAGTTTGTCTCTGCATTGCCACACTCTGGTAGTCTTTTGTATTGTTTGGGCACTTTTGGTCAAGTTGTTTGCCAACTTTCAAGCAATACAAAACTATCAATCTTGGGCATACACAAAATGGCCAATCTGTCAAGGCAACAGCCTAGACTCCAAGCTATGTCGTTGCCTTTTAGTTTTTTACAACGGTCAGGGCATCCTCACGCGTCCTTTGTGGAAAACAGCCTCTTAGATGGGTATCTTGCCATGACCCTAGAGTCAGAACTTTATGAAAGTACAAAAATTGGTGGCTGGGTAGAGATGAAAAGATCAAATCCCAAACATTTGCAGTGGGCAGTTACCATGTCTGATACCTCTGAGGATGATTTTGGATGGGGTTTGAGCCTTGGTGGTTTGGTACAAGGTCGAAGAAATTATGACTGTTTTCAAGTTGAAAGCTTTCTCAATTTCAACGTAGGAAAGAAGTGCAAGTTGCAACCAGGTCTACTCTATGTGATCGATGGAGCCACTCAGTTTCCTGCATTGATGTTCCGCACTAGTTGGTCCTTGTGAAGTGTGCAAGCTAGCTCAGACACCACGGCTGGACATAAAAAAAACACTCCCGTGAACAATCTCACTCTCCCCTTATAATAGAAATACCCTTTAGCAACTCCCACACAAAATAGAAAGGAAGAGAAATATTTTGTATCCTCCAACAGTATTCACTTTAGTAACAAATTTTAGTCCAAGCAGTTAATAGGACCTTATGCTTTGTTCTCTCCTACATAAACTGCTTGGCCAAGCATTTATTTTTGTGGTCAAAGTGAAGTTTCCGAAAAATGTATTTTGTGAGCATAGCAGGTTATGATTGGCTAAATGATTTGAGAAACACTATTGTTGACAAAGGTAAAAATAAGGTTTGTGTATATCAAATTCTCTTTGGACTCCATTTGTGAGAATATACTTAGATATGTTGTTATTGATTAGATAAATAGTTTATGACTTTAGTGTTTGGTCAAGTGTTTTGTGAGTGTTACATTACAGAGGGGCATAAAGAATCACTTTATGATTTGTTTTGGAGTAATAAATAATCTGAAACGTTTATCATGTGAGATTGTAGTTAACTTTCTAATATTTATTTTAAAGGAAGTGTTAGGGGGTGCACTATTTAAATTTTATTTAATAGAAGAATTGTTAAGGTTTAGAGAGATTGTTATTATTGATCCTCGATTCAAAAGTGATGTTATTAAATTAGAATGGTAAGGAAAATACAACAATAAAATAGTGAGGTACAAAGAAAATAAAACAAGCAGTGAGACGAGAAAAGGAGGGTTTAAGGCTGGGGTGGGGCGTGTGGATACAGGGTGGGTTGAAGTGAGTTTTTTAAAACTAATGCGGGGAGGAGCGGGTTGTGAGTATATGTAATTTTATGTGAGTTCAAACTTAATTTTAACTTTTTTGCAGGTTATAAGAGTGATAAAACGTTATTTCTTTAGATGATTTCTTTAAAACTACTAAAATATTCAACATAGTAAATGAAAATGGTTCAATAAAAAATAATACAATTTTTTACATGTTTTCCAATTGACCTCTAAAAATAAAATTTTAAGTCACTATCCTATTAAATTAATACAATTTAATGAAAAAATGAATTTATTTTTATGAATTTTATTTTTTAGTATCAAACTTAACTATAAAGAGAAAATATTAAAACAAATTATGCGGGGCGGGTCTATGGCGGGCGGGGTGGGGCGGATTAAAAATTTTGCTGGTTAAGCTTAACCCGCCTCGCCCCATTGTCATCCCTATCCCCTCATTGTCATCCCTATCCCCATTCTCCCTAGTTGTTTTCGGTTACTACCTCTCAGCCATTAACAAGTTCTGTCTAGTTCCTTCTCCCTTACTCCCATCTTGCTCAGATAAATTCGTTCCTAATCATATCTCCTAGTTACACACGTATCCATCCAAACATATTCGCCTTCTAAACATGGACATTCTTCATTGACTAACACTTTGCTCATCATAAAATGCTCTAGAAACGAGCCTCTATTTCATTTGCCTCAAGGCACCTTAATTAACTTAAATACATTGTTTTGTCCAATTAATAGATGTAGTAAAAAATAAAAAAAATATTAGGAAAAAAAAAATTAAAATGAAAAAAGAAAAAAAAATTGTTTTTATAAGAAAAAAAAAACTTTAAACCCTCTATGAGAGTATTAGGACTTTTCCAGAACCTTTGAGAAAGCCCTCACGCCGCTTGTTCATCTTCTCCAAATCTCTGCCTTCTCTTTCTATACATACATTGTCAATGGCGGCGAGGATCGCATTGCTAAAGTACCTGAGAGTGGAAGCTCACCCAGTGCAGCTTCGAAACCCTAGGCTCATCGGAGGTTCAGTCAGTCAGCTTTTCAAACGTCATTTCTCGGAGGAAGTAAGGGGATCGTTTCTCGACAAGGATGAAGTTAGGGATCGTGTTATCAACGTCGTCAAAAACTTTCAGAAAGTTGATCCTTGCAAGGTATATCTAACATATTGCGTTTTATGCATACGTTTTTTTCGATGTTAATTTCTTGTGAAATGAAATTAGGGTTTTGTTCAGGTTCAGGCTAATTCGTTTTTAGAAATTGAAATTCGCTGTTTCATAGATTTAAAGGCTGTTGGGCCATACGTCTTCGCAATTTTTCCAGAGGATTGTTGGATTATATCTTTTAGCTAGAGAACATGCTGATAGAATTTGGTTTTAGAATTGAGAAGAATATTTTTGGTAGGAGCATTACTACATGTAATGGGACTCTGATAAAATCATCTGTTGACAGATGAAATTAGTGTTCTGTTCAAGTTCCGGCTAATCCGTTTTTAGGATTGGAATGTATTGTTTATCTTACAGATAAAATCATCTGTTGACTGATGAAATTATTTTATTTTTATTTGCCTTACACTTTTGTTGTGTGTGTTTTTATGTTATTCATGGATTTTAAGGCTGCTGGTCCTATAGATTTAAAGGCTAGATTGGGCTTGTCTCGGTTAATTCCACGGGCACCTGCTACCTCCCACTAAAACAGGTATTGGGTAGCTCTATCCACCTGAGGCTTGGACAAATGTGAAGAAATCACCATGGTTCCTTTTTCTTTTTTTTCTTTTTTTTTTTTTTGAGAAAGATAACATTAATTCTATATATCCACAGGTATACTACACCAAAAAGTGTAGTTTCTCGGCAAAAGTATTACAACTTACATCTTGTGGTTCAATTTGTCCTTACAAAAAGTTTAAAACATCAAAAATGTCTTCTGTTTGAGCTAGTAATTTTTTCTCATGCTAAAAGTAAAATAGGCCTAAGCAATTCGTTTTAAGATTCTGTAAGTTGCTTTGTACTCTATTTTTTTTTTTTTGAGAAAGTTAACATTAAGCTGCTTTGTACTCTTTCAAAACACCTCCTATTCCTCTTAGACCAAACTGACCACCAAATACAAGCCAGGACAATCTTCCATCTCTCCTCCGTGCTTACCATGCCATCCTTGTTCCCAGCATCTTAGCACCTGCTATGCTTCCAGGTTTCACCCATCTAGAGGCTAATCGATGACCCCTTTTATTTAGGTTTTCATGTGTCCAAACTGCCTCTTTAGCCAAAAGCCAGGTGAACAGTTAATTAACTTTGTAAGGGATCTTTGGCTTCCATATCATCTTCCAAGGCCAATCTTTCCCTTCACCACTGCTGAATTCAGCTCCTTGTAAGCTGAGTTGATAGAGAACTTTCCATTTCTGTCTTTGTTCCATTCCAGTCTGTCTTCTCCTCCATTGAGGTTATTAAAATCTGCTACTGAATTGTAAAATTCTGCAATTCTTTTCATCTCCCAGTCATTCAAATGTCTCCTTAGGAATAAATTCCACTCTTGACCAGTCCACACATCATGGCAACTGTGGCATGTTGTTGTTGACTTAATGCGAAGAGTTCTGGATGTTGTTGTTTCATAGTTCCTTGCCCTGTCCATTTGTCATGCCAAAAGGATGTTTGCTGTCCATTCCCAATCTTCACCTTTGCTCTGATCTGCATCAATGGCCATAGGTTCCTGATAGGTCTCCAGACTGAGTTCCTTCATTTGGAATTGAACATGAGACCTTATGGTACTCTACAACCCACTTCATTGACCACTTGGCCATCCCTTGGGTGCTTATACAAGGCGCCATTTTTCTAGAGGATTGTTGGATTATTTCTTTTTGCTAAAGAACATGGTGATGGCTAAAGTTATCAGTTCCCAAAAAAAAAAAAACATGGTGATAGAATTTGATTTTAGAATTGAGAAGATCTTTTTTGGGTAGGAGATGTACTACATGTAATGGGACTTCGATAAAATCATCTGTTCACTGGTAAAATTCTTGTAGTTAATAGATGCTTAAAAGGATGCTTATGTCCATATTTTAATCAGCTTTAAGATTGATTCAGCTTGAGGGAATTAGTAACTGATAGCTCACTAGGAGTAAATTTAGAAATTCCATAGTATATATCTTGATAGGAAAATCCAACAGACTATATTTTGCAAAAAAAAGTGAATATTTCCTTGTAGTGGTTTTCGCAACTTGTGGCCCATCTATGGTTGAAGAAATTGGTTCATTTCCCCGTTGTGGTCTAAAAATTAGTGCACTACCCATTGCGTTAACTCATGCTTACAATGTTTGGTGGTCCTTCTGAATAATGGTTAAAACTGCAGATTGTCCCTTGTAATTTCTATGCACTAGTGTTATTAAGAACTATCACTCTGCTGTTTAGTGAGAATGAGTGGTGGTGCTATATGAAGAGGGGGTCATCTGATCTGTGAGGTACAAAGTTCCTAACTATAGGGAGCTAATCTGCTAGTTGCTAAATCATACAGGGAGGTTACTTGCAATCCTTATGTCTATCACGAAAACTTATATTTGTAGGTTGACAATATGAGAATATAAGTTTAGTGTCCAATAATGTGAACTGTTATCAATCCTAAACTCTAGCCGGCTAGCAGAGGAATAGAGCTAATAGATGGGAAAACTTTTTCCGTGTCAGTAAGTTAATCGAGGTTATTGACAAGAGGATTCTTGTATGAGTTCATTTTGGAGGGAATGCGTAGAATAAATAGAACCTCTGTCAATTTCCAAAATTTTATGTGGTTTTGCAAGTTTATGAAAGGGTATTTGAGAATAAACCACCTCAGTACGAGGAAGGCGCGGAACAAATGGTCAGAAATGTATGAATTTTTATACTAGAACACAATGCAATATATATGGAAGGTAGTCACTAAGTCAGGATAGAAAAAAATTATGTTGCTTGGAATCTCCAAAAATGATGCCGTACCCACATTGAATTCTTCAAAAATGAACTACTTTTGAATGATTGGACACGAACTTGCCGACATTTTTGAAGACTCTAAGCAGCATAGGAAAAAATCAAGGAAGGAGATGTTAGGCTGTATTCATGTCAGATACTAGCTACATGCAATTGGAAAATTCATTGGAAAAGCTTGTCAAGAAACTAGTTAAAAAGTCATAAACTGATGCAGGAGCAGCAAGTCGGCAGCAATGGAGGTTCGGACCGAGGATAATTTGGAAGTCAAAAGGGAATGCAGGGACTAAAATTTTCATTATTGTCAAAGAGGGATCATATGAAATGAGAATAAAGTTCCATGAATTAAATTTTTTTTTCATTCAAATTTTCTTCAAAGGAGTTGATAGAATCAAATTAAGATGTTGGCACTTAGAACTTGTGCCATTATTCTTGATGTAA